TAGAGAATTTCCTACCATTTCTAATTTATTTTAATTTGTGCAAATTTCAATGGAGGTATTCGCAATTGCTCCTAACTTTGATGGGATTAAAAAAATTTAAACCTAAAAATTGAGATTTTCTTTTTAATTTTTCTTTGTATTGAAATCAAGATTTTGTAATGATGTTAGAGTTTTTTTCGACTAATTTGAACTCGCTCTATCGATTGAAAAAGTCAAAATTGCAAAAATCTAAAAAATGGAAATTTTAAGTTTTTTAATTTTTTTCCAAAAGGTACCCTCTTTATATATTTTTTTTTAAATGTTCAAACTCAATTTTCTCGAAACCCATCAAAGATTTTGGATCAATTTTTTCTGAGATTGTAGCCCTTGATGGGGGCTTTAAAATGGTACTTGATTGAAGTCGTTGGCTTTTACGGTTTTTGAGGAAATCGAGTTTTTGACTAAATTTCAACTAAAATCCAACTTTGAGGCTCAATTGCTCTAAAGGTATTTGAGTTATCAAACTCAATCTAGCACTGATTTATAGAGAATTTGATGCTCTTTCCAACCATATATAATTTATTTTGATTTGCTCAAAATTGAATGAAAGCATTGGCAATTGCTTCTAACCTTGTCAGAATTTTTAAAAAATTTAGATCTGAAAATTAGGATTTTCTTTTTGATTTTTTTTTTCTCTTTTGAAATCGAGATTTGGAAATAAAGTTAGAGTTTTTTTCGACTAATTTAGATCCGCTCTATCGATTGGGAAAGTCAAAATTCAAAAAATCTGAAAAATAAAAATTTCGATTTTTTCAAAGGGCTAAACCCCTTTTCATTTTAATTTCAAAATTTTCAAACTCAATTTTCTCGAAGCCCGTCAAAGTTTTTGGATCAATTTTTTTTAGTATTGATGAGAGCTTGGGAATGGTTCTTAGTTGAAGTTGCTGGCATTTACGGTTTTTGAGAAAATCAAGTTTGAAGTTTTTGACTAAATTTCAACTAAAATCCAACTTTGAGGCTCAATTGCTCTAAAAGTATTCGAGTTATCAAACTCAATCTAGCACTGATTTATAGATAATTTGATGCTCTTTCCAACCATATATAATTTATTTTGAATTGTTCAAAATTTAATAAAAGTATTGGCAATTGCTCCTAACATTGTCAGGATTCAAAAAAAATTTAAACCTAAAAATTGAGATTTTCTTTTTAATTTTTCTCTTTGTTGAAATCAAGATTTTATAATGATGTAAGAGTTTTTTTCGACTAATTTAGACTCGCTCTATCGATTCGAAAAGTCAAAATTCAATAAATATGAACAATAAAAATTTCGAATTTTCCAAAGGGTTACCCCTTTAGATTTTTATTTCAAAATATTTGATATTGGATATCTTAAAATCTATTAAAGGTTTTGAATTAAAATTTTCAGGAAATATGGCAAGGGCTTTGAAATGATATTTAGTTGAAATCGCTAGCTCTTATGGTTTTCGAGAAAATCGAGTTTGAATTTTTTGATAAAATTTGGACTAAAAGTTTACTTTGAGATCCAATTGCCCAGAAATTATTCGAGTTATCAGAGCCAATTTAGCATGGATTTATAGAGAATTTAAGGCTCTTTCCAAATATATATAATTTGTTTTGATTTGTTCAAATTTCTTTGAAGATATTGGCCATTATTCCTAACCTTGTCAAGATTTGAAAAAATTTCTAGACGAAAATTGAGAATTTTTAGCTTTTTGAAATCGCCATTTTGAAAGTAATGTTAGAATTTTTCTCGATTAATTTAAACCCCCTGAATCAATTGGAAAATTCAAAATTTCGAAAATATTAAAAATAAAAATTTCGAGTTTTCGATTGGTTTGACTGAAACCCCCCATAAGCAACGCCACTGGCCAAACAAAATACATGTTGCCAACTTGAAAAATAACCGGCCAATAGCAACAAGAGCCTGGAATAAACAGAAATTGAAATATAAAAAGGGAAACATAATATAAATATATCAAAAAAACAAATACAAATTTATATAAAAATCAAAGGACCTCACACCCCACTTATTGGTATTTGGTTTTCTGTCAAACAAATGAAATTTTAATACATTACGAGGGATGTTTATAAAGTGTACGCCATTGTTAAAAATATTTAAAATTGATGAAATTTCAAAATCACCAGAAATTGCCATTTTTCAAAAAGTTTTTCACCAATCATCAGATTTTTCATAAAATCACCAGATCTGGTGAAATTTCACCAAACCTGGCATCACTGCTTGACGAGTATCCCACTCTGACAGGTAAGGCATATTGTGATAAATGTAAGAAATGGCGTAGCATCCCCAAAAAATTTTCGCCTGCGGCGCATTTTTTTGAAGAGTTCAAAACCAAACTAGGATGTCACTAGTCGCCACTGCTTTTATAATACTCCAAATAATGTAATGTCAGACGCGTTTCATGAGTTATTATGAAACCAAAATAGAAAATAGTATATTGTGTATTTAGGTGGAAATGTGACACATTCTCGGCCTACGGTGTAAGTTGTCGCGCGAGGCGCAGCCGAGGCTGGCAAACACCGAAGGTCGAGAATGTGCTTTTCCTCTGAAATACACATATTATTTTTTCTGCTGTCGGTCAAGAATAAAAAAAAAAATGAGGAATGGTTTTGTAATGTTGCTGGACCAGCACACTTTCCTAGCCTGGCTGGAAAAGTATTTCCCATACTGTTATCCATTCCTTCCTTAGTAATCACTTTCTTGGCCTAGGGGGAAAGTGATTCCTGTACTGTTATCCATTATCCATCGATTCCTCAGCAACCATTGAAAATACCAGAATTTCGAGTTTTGCGACTTGTCAACCGGTCAAAAATGATGACATTTCTTGTCAATCGCGGAAAACGTATATTATGTGAATGTGTGTTAGTAATACATACTATGGTAATACATGCCATTTCCATTTTCCGGACTTTAGAATAGCTGAAATCCGTTATGGGAAATTTTTTTGTTTCTTTGCATTTTTAACATTTTTCTGAACAATTTTCCTGAGGAAATAAGCTGTTTCCACTTTCCGGAAAAATTTATGATGTTAATATTGAATTTCGAAAAACAACAGCGCGCGCTTTGTTATTAACCACTTGCAACCAGTATTGAACAAATTAACCAAAAATATGCAAAGTAGCCCAAAGTAACCCGTCCACCTAATGCGTACTAGTTCCTGTATGTTAATATTGAATATCAACCACTTATAACTAGTATTGAATGAACTATAACGAAACTAACCAAAAATATGCAAACTAGCCCAAACTAACCCGTCCACCTAATGCGTACTAGTCCTTGTATGTTAATATTGAATTTAAAAAACAAAGCGCGCGCGCTTTTCTGTCAACCAGTACGCTTATAACCAGTAAAACGAACTGTAACGAAACTAACCAAAAATATGCAAACTAGCCCAAACTAACCCGCTCACGTAATGCGTAGGTACTATAGTCCCATGTATGTTAATATTGTAACCAGTATTGAACGAGCTGTAACAAAACTAACCAAACATGCAAACTAGCCCAAACTAACCCGCCCACGTAATGCGTACTAGTCCTTGTATGCTAATATTGAATTCAGAAAAACAACATAAAATTAAGACTGGTTAGCAAAAAATCATCTTGAACTAAAAACACACATTCACACCAACGGAGGTAGCCTCATTTTAAATTACAATCAAACACAAGGAACCCAGTAGCTATATACCCCGGAACCACAATGACATTATTGGCGGAAACAGCAGAGACAAATCTTTCACACAATTTCATCTTGCAAGCAGAAAAAGACGAAGAAAGCGAAGAAGTAACAATGAAAGATCATAAGTTAGACACTATCACAAACGAGAAGAACAAGCATGAACTCAAAGAACTCCCTCTGGAATACAACGACGTTCTCGCAAAATCTACAAAACATATGGGAAAGACAAACTTAACAGAACACATAATAGACGTCGCAGAGGCTCGCCCAATGAAAAGCCGCCCATACAGAGTTTCACAAAAAGAGAGAGAGAGATTATTGACGAACAAATCCAGGAAATTCTCGACAGCGAAGTAATTCGGCCTTGCCACTCTTCATGGGCCAGCCCTGTAGTTCTAGAAAAAAGATGGAAAAACAACAAGCGTAACAAACCAGGAAACGACACTTAGACCGTGGTACCGATCACTCCACGATCTAGCTGACCTACCAGGAAGTAACTACTTGGAACCAGAACCAACGCACTTTAAAGACAGAATACAGGACAATAAACAAACGCCTGTCACCTCCACCAAATATCACAACCTCTTAGAGATGGGAGGTGTAGGGTAGTTCGATGGAGGGAAATTTCCTATAAGTAGCTTAGTTGACAATATCAACATCAACAAGCAATCTTGCAGGGTTTTTAATGCTGCTATGACTCACTCATACGACTGACTTTAGAATATCATTGAGAACGATATAATTCTACAAGCTTGAGCGATGTTTTTCAAAAGTCAGTTCTTCTTCCGCACGACAACCCAGCTAACATTTGAACAACAAAACGCATTTTCTTTCTCCTATAACTCAGTCCTTCCGCTCACAGAAACCTGAAAAATTATAAATTTCTGCTGATCATTTACAGTTCATCGGTGCCACCAGCCTCAACCTTAATGTCCATACAAATCAGATCAAATTATTTGAAAAAAAAAAATGCGATCTATAAACCGCAAACTGCAACCTATTGCGCGGCATTTCTGTTGCAACTTCTTGCACACCCATGGACATGCCTGTTGAACTTAACCTTAGGAAGTATTTTTTTTCTTGCTCCAAAAGCAGTGATCTGATTTAAGAGGTATTTTTTTGTACGAATTCAATTTTGTGCTAAACCCAATAGATTTGATATTATTTCACATTTCCTAGATTAATGATTTTTAAGTAAAAACATAATGTTTCAAGGTTGCAATTACTAGAGCGTGTCCATGATCAAACAAATTCAAATTAACAACAACAAAAATCTTGTTTATTAATAATTTTTTTTTAATTTCAGTCATTCTTCGGCCGATCCTACAACAACCTAAACTCGATCAACGATTGCAAGAACAACAACAAATGTGTCATCAACAAAAAGAATCGGACCGCTTGCAAAGCATGCCGTTTACGCAAATGCATGGTCGTAGGCATGTCCAAAAGTGGTTCCCGTTACGGCCGACGTTCCAACTGGTTCAAAATCCATTGCCTTCTTCAAGAAAAGCAGCAGCAGATGCAAGAAAACGGCGAAGATCCAAACAATAGCGAACTGATGCCTCATCAAATGACACCGCCACCTAACGGACACCATAACCACCATCATCACCAGCAAATGAACATGAGGCTTTTAGGATCGAATCCTTTCGCTCCACCTCTATTGCATTTACCACGTACTAGAGAAGAATTAATGCTACTAGGCTTGGACGAGTCTTTTAGACATTCAGCTTCACCATCTGTAAGCAGCCCCGAATCACACAATTCTGATTCATCAGTAGAAATGCCCGATCGAAGAATACCATTGATTCCTGGCCTATTACCACCAACCTTTTTACCACCACCAGGTTTACTATTTCCTCCCGGATATCCACCATTTTATCCTGGCCTACTACAACCAGCACCTCACCTAAATCACTTGAATAACAACAATAACAACAACGAAAAAGTTTTAAGAAACAATAATCCTGTTGTAGAAGCTAAAGTGAAACGAGAATATTTAGACGCAGTGCTATCGCTGCAACGCGCTTCTCCACCTTCAGAAGACCAAGGAGATGAAGAAGACGAAGAAGTGGACGTTAAAACGCCAGTACCAACTCCAAGTCCTATACAAGAAACCCCTATCGATTTGAGTATGAGGACCATGAGTGAACGTGGCTCTTCGCCAGCGCGATCTGAGAGGTCAGGGATGTCAGTGGTAACTTCAGAACGGGGAAATGAAAGTGAAGAAAGCGACTGTGACTCAGAAAATAGAAGGTTGAATAGGCTTGGATTGGTGAGGCCTACACCTTTGGATTTAACCACGAAAGTATGATGAATTTGCAATTGTTAGATTATGCAGAAATTTGCTCATTTACGTACTAATGTTGTTAAACAACAACAAAATTAGATATATGATACACATAAACAACTATTGTGTTAAAATTTATATTTTTATTATATATATTTTGTATATGTGTTATTAATATTTAACAACATGTTTGAAAAAATATAGGTGATATTAGCATTTTTCAATAATAGTGAATCAAGAGGCCAGTAGACAAATTTAAGCTTCTTAGTCATACGAGACAAGGTGTCTCAATTTCAAACGTGTTCATGTTAGTTTTTTTTTGTTGTAATATATTGTATATTTTTTGTGTATAATAGACACCTTGTTGGTTAATTTTATTTATTTTTATAATTAATTTTTGCTTCTACATTAATTTCTTTTCGTATAAAGTAAACTAATGGTATAGTGCAATTTTTGTTCTATTTATTATTTAATATTATTATTATTATTTTTTTGATCGTCATTATAAAAAGGAGTTTAAAAACAAATTAAAATAGCTACTAAGGGGCATTTGTTTTTTTATACTGTAGTTTATAGAAATTTATGTATAGGTTTTTTTTGTGAATCTTTGTTACAAATTTTCTTACTTTGTGAATGTGACGAATTGTTTGCGATATAGTGTTTCGGGGACTAGGGCCAGTTTATAAGTGTGAATGAGTCTTTTGTAAGAGAACTATTTTTTTGATAAATTGTGTTAAAAATAAACGTATACAAAACTATATTGTTGTTGTTTTATTAAATCGACTTGCATGAATAAAGAGTTTTCTATATGCTAAGGGAAACTACATGCCCAGTATACAGATGTTTTATTGAAATTACAATTTGAGTAACTTTGAAGTAAATGGCACTTATTTCTTTAATAATAAACATTTACATATTTATTAGTAATTTCAAGACTATTTCTATCACTCTAACATTTATGTTAATTATTACTGTACTGTTATATTAACAAAATGTTAGATCAAAAACCCACTTCAGATATTTTAAGAAATGCCCTGTGGCTATAAGGCTATAAGTAACAGGTGAAAATCTCAATCAATATGTGTTTAAAAAAAAGTGACAGAATCTAAAATAAGTTGATTTGAATTGCAAAACAAAAATTCCATCCATGCATTCAACAATGAATTAAGGTTTATTGGGCGCAACAAAGACGAAGAAAAGCATTAACACCGTTTATCTTTAAAAAAACAGCAAATAAAAAACCCATCCTCGGAGCGGATTCCCGGTCCATAAAAAGCCCATATTACCATCATGGGCTGACCTTTCGGATGGACCGCCATATTTCACCCAACAAATCACTGGAGATTTTTACCGTACTAATGGGACAATTCGTATGTAAATGCGAGCACATTTCTGTCGGGCCGCTTAAGAATTCCGAGCAATATGCTCTTCTGCGCCCGAGCATTTCATTTAAAATAATATTTCCAGTTTTTCGTGATAATGGCGTTTCTTGAGAGAATATTTTTGTTTGTGTTGGATCAGTGGCGACACAATACGAGATTTTTGAATATTTAAATATATTTTGAGGTATTAAAAAAAGATTTATCGAGCTAAGAAAAAATACTTTGACCATTTGACTCATCACTGGCAAATCATCATTAGAACTATTCACCTATTTGGTATAAATGATTCAACATACTCATCTATTTTCGTGAAAAATATAATCTTCTCTATGATTCAGGTTACATAAGTTCAGATTTTTTGTTTCTCGAGGCCATATATTTCGTGAAAGAGTGAAATATGCAACAACGACTGAGTTATCTACCTACAGATATTGGCTTAGAATTAATGGCCTCCCTAAGTACCCCCTATCAATGAGGAGCCCAACTAAAAAAACAAAACAGGTCTGCCATCTATTAGAGAGATACATAAATCAGAGCGTTGTTGCTAGAATCAATGGAATTTCGACAAATTGAGTATAAGAACGTTGCAAAATGTCGCCCAAAGTGAAAGACAGAATGGAACACTGTGCAAACAATAATACAATAGCATCGTCAACCAATTTAAAAGCTTGGAAATAACAGAAGATTGTAGCGCTGATAGAATACTTTAAATGATGATCCAAGATAACCAAATTACAATATACTCTAACTGCAGAAACTTCAGAAAGAGAAGGAAACTATCAAGTTTCTGCCAGATTTAAAATAGAACATAGATTTTCCAATTGAGCACCCAAAAGAGAACCTCTGAGTGGTCGAAGAACTTTGAAAGTATGCAAATATGTACCACATAAATTGTTTTACACTTTTATTTTTCAGGCTTCAAGAATGTATTTGAGAGGAGGAACTAAGACATCGAATTTCAAGCAAGTTTGTATACTTCCAGTTATCATGGATATTTAACAAGTTTTCAGGAAAACCTTTGGGTATTGATGAAACTATTCGAATCTCAGTAACTTATTGTAAATTAGTGGAAAATTGAACATAAAAGTCTTTTACTATGGCTACTATATTGACAAGTATGTTGAGAGATAATAGTCACGTCATTGATAGTCACAATAAGAGTTTTTATTTACGACTAATGTATAATGTGCCTATTATATTTGTGATTTTGGCAGTATAATGACATATGTTATTCCTCCAGGGATTAATGACGAGTAGCGGGATTAATGGTCATTATTCCACAAAAGTGTCAGTGTCAAACGTGTAGTGCTTGTGGATTTGTATTGAAAATTATGAGACGGATGAAATTTGTTCATTGAAAATCTCAAATAAATTAATTTGTCGTAAATAAAGTAGAGTATACTACTCGCAATAATGGCTATTATTCCCTCGGAATGTTACTCCCTCGCCGCTAACGCGGCTCAGTTCGTAATAATCCTCGGGAATAATAGCTATCATTATTGACTCGTGGTATAATCTACTATTATGAAATATATAAAGACAGAGTGACATAAGTTTTTGCATGTTGATTTACCTGGAATATAAAGTAGTATATACACAATCTATGTTGACTGGATTAGGATTACACAAAGAAATGTTAAATATTCAACACCCCTTCTCAATTTAAACATTACAATATGAAAGTTTGAAATTGTAAATAAAAGAAATACCTAAAAAAATGAAATCTATACCTAAAGAAAATATTGTCAAATCAAAATAATTACCTACCTTAATTATTTAACAATCGAATTTTCTCTAAAAAATATAAATTTCTCTTTCACGAGAGGTTTTGTTAACATGTCTGCAATATTCTTATTTGAGGAAACATAGAACACTTCTATTATTACTTTAGCTACACCATCTTTTATGAAGTGTGCTTTGATGTCAATGTGTTTTGATCTCTTGCTATTTTCAAAGCTTTCGATGGATCGTTGATTATCCAATAATAAAGTTGTTGTTGGGTTTCCAAGTCCAAAATCTCTACAAATGCTTTGTAGATAAAGAAGCTCCGAAGCCGTTAATGCCACTAGCTAAATATTCAGATTCAAAGCTGGATTGTTCCACAAAATTTTGCTTTTTTGATATCCATGATATCAAATTTCTGCTATAAAACACTAAACATCCACTTATACTTTTTCTATCAGTTTGATCTCCCCAAACTGCGTCACTGTATGCTAAAATTTCTGGTCTCTCTGTAGTATTTGATTCATAACTCAGAGCCATGTTAATTGTTTGTTTGAGATATTTCAGTATTCTCTTTGCTGCTGTCCATAGTTGTGTTGGCTTGTCAACGTCTCTATTAAGATATATTACAGAGAATAATATATCAGGTCTGCTAATTGTTGCCACATATAATAATGACCCAATCAGTTCTCGATGTGGTACACTAGTGTCAACTTCTTGTACTTGAACTTGGAAATTTGGTTCCATTGGAGTATATATAGATTTTCATTCTAAATTAAATTAAGCAAGCATTTTCTTGATTATAGTGGGTTGACCTATGCATTTCTGACCATTTTTGTCCATTATTTCCATACCAAAAAAATTATTAAGTTTTCTTAAATCTTCAGCATTGAACTCTACCTCTAATGCCTTAAAAATGTTCAAATGATTTGGTCCTATCAAAATAATGTCATAGACCCAGAGTAATAGCCATACGCCTTCTCTAATATAAAGGCAAAAGTCGTTTCCTGATCTTTTTAGCTGATACCTACTTTTCTGCAAATTCGTGAAATCTTTCGTTCTACAATCTTGGAGCTTCCCGTAATCCATTGTGCCTTTTTCAACTTCAATGAGTCATATTGTCGACTTTCACACCATCTGGGATTTTTATGTAAACATCTATATTTAAATTTCCATTTGAAAAGGCTGTAGGAATATCAAGATGCCTAATTTCCCAAGTATTGTTCCTTGCATGTGATATAAACATTCTTATTGTTTGATATCTGGCTCCTAGAGCATAAACATTGTAGTGATATTATTCTTGATATCCTTTGGCTACTGAACGTGCCTTTTTTAATCCAGTCTGTTTAGTTCTGAATATCCAACATGTGTCAATGAGCATTTTGCTTTCCGGCAAAATTACTGGCTCCCATGTACCATATATTTTGTGAGCCTCTCTCTCTCTTTATTTACCTATTGCATATTTCCATTCTTGTCCGGTATTTATTGCTTGGTTATAATCTTTAGGCTCGTCTTCTGTCAATAAACAATAGGCGTGATCAATGACGTTGGCGTGATATAATTCATAATCATTAAATTTTGCTGCATAGTTTTGCTGGTAATTTTCTCATTCTTTTATTGTTTGTTGTTTCATCATCATTAATTTTTTCATTGTCATTGTCTTCAGTATTTTCGTAATTTTCTTCTTCTTTTTCATCTTGAATTATTCCATGCACTATGTCAGTCTCATCAAATCTAATTTCACGAGATACAATAATTCCATTTGTCTTTGGATTCTATAAACGATATCCATTTGTAGTATATCCAACCATACGACATGATTCTGCTCTCGTTTCAAGTTTGTTTCCAGAATTTGGTAGTTTTAATGTTTAATACCCATGCTTTACTGCCAAAAATCCTCAATTTGCTACGGTCTGTTTTTCCATAGTATACTAACAGGAATTTAAAGCAGCGGTTGGAGATCTGTTCAGTTGATAAGCAGCAGTTCTTATAGCTTCTCCCCATAAATGTTTAGGGAGATTTGCTTCTGCAAACATTGATCTAACTTTATCAAGTAATGTTTTGTTGGCTCGTTCACTTACACAGTTTTGCTGGGGAGTATAAGGTAATGTATACTGACACTTTATCCCCTTTTGTTTGCAAAAGTTACGAAATACGGCAGATGTATATTCACCTCCATTATCCATTCTAATTCTTAATACTCTTCGGATTTTTTTGTTCTCTGATATAATTCATTAAATTCTTTTGTGCTTCGCTCTTCTTTTTTAATAAACAAACACTTACAAAATGAGAATGGTCATCTATTATTGCTTGGTAATACTTTTCGTTATTATCTGTAAGTGTTCTGACTGGTCCTCCAATATCTGAATATAGAAACTCTTCAACTGCATTTGACCTTGGCAAATCAAGAGTTTCAAACGGTTGCCTTGTTGTGTTGCCTTCCATACAAGCACTGCATATTGTGGTATGTGTTGGAAGTTTCATTTTCTTCATATAAACTTCAGATAAATGCTTCAAAATCTTGTGATGCATGAGTTTCTGGCTAGACATTCTATTCCAGACATTATCTGATGTAGAAACCATAAACCATAATAGAGTTCTGTTCTTAGTTTTTTTAGTCTTTGGATGTTTAAGTACATAATACTACATAATGTCCATAT